ACGAATCCAGCTAATCTGGATGCAACGTCCCTAACGTGAATTTATGTCAACCCATTGTTCGGTTTTGGACTGCCACTTAGAATATTTCTAAATTTTTTCCTCCGAACACAGCTGAGAAGCACATTTTTCTATACTTTGACGAATATAAAGATTTCAAAGGTGAAATTCGCCGCGTATAAAGCAAATGAAGTGTGAACTGAAAAACTAGGAAGCACTGGAGAGCTGTTTCGACCATCGACTCAACTGGGGATTCAAACCCGGGACCTCATGGGCAGGACGCAAGCATGCTACCCACTCGGCCACCGGGCAGCTGATCCAATCCTAATAATTTTATGAAGGATGCCTCTACTGACTTTAAGAAGTGCCCAAATAAATAGCCGGTTTCATTTACTGAAAAGAATGATTACGTAAAACGCGTGGTGGCAATGGAAACTGGTTGTGACTAATTGGTAATGGAAAGATAGAGTTCCGAAAGAATTCGCTTCTCTGTGCGATGATCTTACTGATAAAATGACTCATTGGACTCCATTATAAGAAACTAGTATCACCGAGCTCGAATTAACAGGACTAGCCGCTATGTCGCTAGCGTGATACGGTGCGAGCCCTGGCAGGACGGGACAGGTCACAGGACTTGCGGTGGAACCACTAGAAGTACAGTCTATTGAACCAATAAGCCTGGGAGCACAAGGGCGCCGCGACATTTGCTATTTCATTCACGTAAACGTGAGTGAGTGTGGTTCTGGAAAAGGAAAACGGACTTCTGATTCTGGTTCCTCGAAGTGACAGTACACGTGAGGTTTTTTCAGGATCAAAGCAACAGCTCGCAACCCACCGCTCCGAGCTACCCAGAGAAAAAATGTGTTGTGAAGAAGAAACATGATCTAAAATTAGTGATGCTGGATATTGAAAAATTTCAGCCAGGTGAGCGATGAACAGTGAAGGAAAACGGAGTTGCGGGAGTTGGAGAAACCAAGCCAAAGTATTTCGAGCTTATTATCAAGAAAGGAGACGGAGACGGACGAGCTAGTAGCGACCTTAAGCCCGATTTCTGACACAATCGCGGAACGCTGATACACCATATACATTCACGTATAAACGCGGTCTGCTGAAAAACGAATAAAAGCGGGGCACGACTCAAAACCTAACATCTTATTTTCAACAATCGACTAAACGGCTTGCTTTCCGGAATTTATTTACGCTAGAATTGGCAGTAAATGCATTTCCTGCTTACAAGTAGGCGAAAGAGTTGTGGCTTTAAGGATGATCATACCAGTCGTCTCAGAAATGGGAAAAGTAACGTCGCATGCAAGATTCAGTGAACAGCCATTGAAAATACTTACGATTTCATCTGGACTAAGTATGCCGAATTGCAAGGCACGAACTTCCCTCAACGGTGGAGCACCACCGACTATGGGCGCCATTTCGGTATAAGCACAACCTTGAGTAATTCCAAATTAGCGTAGCTAAACACATCTCAGTTCAGTTCAGTTCAGTTGCACAGGACGAATATGGCTCTTGCCAATCGAGCGT